GGGCCCAACTGCCTATTTTTTGCCTCCTTTGCGATTTGGATTGGTGAGTTGGAAATTTGGTTTTTAATTTCAGCACATGTGATTGGATTTAACAAGGATTCTGCATGGGAAGATTTTTGTGGAAAATGGAAGATTAAAGTGGCCAAAAGTTCATCCCGAAGAGGTACGGTGCGCCTAGAGTTCTAATACTCGGAGAGGACTTTTTCTTTTAATTTTTCACATGAGTTTAATTCCATCAAAGAAGCATAATGCCATCATGAGACGAGCTAATCTTATTGGCTAAAAACGAAGAAAAAAGATTATCCATTTAATTAAGATAAAGAGTAATTTATTATTAATTATTTTATACAGTCTAGGATTAGGTTAGGCTTTTATTTTATTATTTATTCTATCCTAATATTAGGATAGTACTCTATCTGTTAATTATTTTATTAATTTCTAAATGTTTGCATTCGATTAGAATTATTCTAGGAAAACCTATATAAAAGAGTTTATGCATAGGTTGTAAATAAAATCGAACTTTTTGCTTAATTAGCTCTATTAATTTTTCAAGTTCTTCAAGAATCTTTAAGTGAAGAGCTTCAAACTGCTTTGTTGAGTGGAAAATCAGGAACTACTTATCAAGTAAGTCGTGACATGTTTTTCTTTTCTTTTTATTTCCTAGTTACTTGGATACGCATTCAATACGTCGATTGTGATTCCAATAGGGAGGATTTATTTTCAGTATTTAAGTTGAATTACTAAATATAGTAGGTTCATGATTGTGGTGTTTTCGATTTGTGGAGTCATCCTGCTCTACCCTGCGTCAACAGTAGCCACCAAGTCCGATAATCTTATATCCTCTTGCTATGTGTAATCATCATCCCTTTTTCCTCATTTTTATTCTATCAAACAACACATCATCCTCACTCTCTAGAGAAGTATCTAAATCCTAAATAACAGGCATTACACTTACTTACACCTAGGCCTCCTTACAAGCTGATATTTTAGCATTAACCTTTAAGTTTCTTCTCTTTTTCTTCATTGAGAATGAACAATCAATTCTTATCTTTTCTTTTTTTTTTTAGAATTCGCTCATAATACTGAGGTGCACTACCTCAGCAAAGGAAAGAAATTGCAAGGGTTTCAAGAAGAAATTCCATAATGTGGACAACTTCACTTAAAATAGATAACTATAAAATTTAACATTAATTGAAGCATTAATTGAAAACTGTTTTTACATAACCTCCTCCATGATCTTTTTATCTACTTAAACTTTCGAGATTCCATGAAGCTATCCGTAGGAATGAGATCATTGTTTATCGTCTTCGACAACACATAGAGGCCCAAACACACTAGTCCACTATCCACCAAGATGCAGGGCAATATGGAACTTGTCTTCGCTAAGGAATTTTAATAGTCAAATGTCGTTGTTGTTATATAATATGGATATTACTATCGTCAACTTGCACCAATTCACCGAATTACTTCCCCAAAAATTCGAATAACCATGGCACCAAGACTTTTAAAGGGGCTCATACCACTTGGATTTTTGCTGTTGAAGAAAACCCTCCTCTTCCAAGACCCCTTCTTTTATGTAATTGAACCATTTAGTAATATATTCTTCCCAACCGATGCTACTTTATCCATTCTTAAAGGGAATGAAACATAGTTGCAATTTCCTATTGCATAACTATAAAATACTAGCCACTCTACGAATAATCTACCAACCAATAATTTCTACATCCAATTTTATTTATATCTATTTTTTTATAAAACTTTAAACTTTGAGTACCA